AAGCTCGCGTCCCTGTCCGAGTCTTCCCAGGATCTCCTCGTCGGACACTCGGGCGGCAAAAGGGGCGCGCAACAGCAGAAACACATTTCTGCGGCCTCTGTATTGCGCCGGCTTTCAGTTGTCAGTGTCCAGGACTCGCAACCAGATGTGAGAGTTGATCATACAAAGGTTTTAACAAGGAAGTTCCCGAGTTTGGAGAATGCATCTTTTTCTAGTCTGCAACGAGCGTCTGAGGTGACAATATATATATATATATATATATATATATATATATATATATATATATATATATATATATATATATATATGCACACCCATACACACACATATCTATTTGTCTATCTCTCTATCTATCTATTTATATATACATGTGTGCGTATATTATTACATCTCTATATATAAACATATGTGTATTTTCTTCGTCTACTTAATGTTCTTCCTCTTTTTCTTTTCTTTTCTTTCTTACTTTTCCTCTTCTTCCCTGCATTCGCGTTCCTCCTCTTTTTTCTATTTCTTTCTCCTTTACTTTCATCTTCTTTTTTCTTTCTTTTCTTACATTCCTATTCCATATCTTCTTCTTCTTCCTCCTCCCTTTCTTCTTCTTCATTTCCCTTTGTCTTTTTCTTCCTTTTTCTTATTATCATATTTATTCCCATACTCCTTCCTCTCTATCATCTCAGTTTTCCCTTTTCTACTTCCTCTTCTCCCTTTTCTTTTCTCCTCTTTTCTTCTTCTCTTCACCCTCTTCCTCTCTTCCATCCACCATTCTCTCTTATTGCCTCTCTTCTTCTTCTTCTCCCTCCTTCCCTCCCTCCCTCACCCTCACCTGCCTGAACCTTCGCCACTGAGCTCTGTCCAGTTCTTTCCTCCTTCGTTGTCTGGGACGCGTCGGGGTGAGAGTTTGTTTTGGAAAAAAAAGATGTTTTGTGGTGCGAATGTCGAGGAAATTCTCCGGGTGGTTGCTGGGGGCTGGTATTTTGTTTAGGAGATTGTTTTTGGGGTTGGGAAAGTCGGGAGAGGACAGTACCCGGAACTCCAGAGTATTCGGAGAAATGAATTACCCGATCATACACACACACACACACACACACACACACACACACACACACACACACACACACACACACACACACACACACACACACACACACAAACACACACACACACCCACACACACACACGCACACACACACACACACACGCACGCACACACACAAAGATGTTCTCTTTTCACTTTCCTGCAAGGCAAGTCGAATTTCGCTGACCCTTTCACCGGGAAAGTTCATTTCTCCGAATACCCTGGAGTTCCGGCTAATGTCATCTCCCGACTTTTCCAACAATGAAATCGTCTTGGAAACAAAATAATAACAAGCAACGATTAACCAGATAATTTTGTCAACCTTCGCTCCTGAAAAAAAAAATCCAAAATAATTTTCTCCTCGACGAATGTAGGACAACAAAGGGAAAGAAATGAACGCAGAGGCGTACTAGTCCTGAACAATCTATCTTTATGTATGTATGTATGTATGTATGTATGTATGTATGTATGCATGTGTGTATGTATGTATGTATGCATGTATGTATGCATATCTATCTATCTGTATCTATATATGTGTCTCTCTTTTTCTCTCTTTCTCTCTCTCTCTCTCTCTCTCTCTCTCTCTCTCTCTCTCTCTCTCTCTCTCTCTCTCTCTCTCTCTCTCTCTCTATCTATCTATATGTGCCTGTGTGTGGTGAAACTAAAATTTTCCAAAATAAGCTTTCACCCGACGAATTTAGGACAACGGAGGAAGGAAACGGCCGGTTCAGCGTACTCATCCGCCCGATTTCTCCTTTCTCTCTGCAGAAGTCTTCACAGGGGACCAAGATGCCGCCCTCGGAGAACACGGCCGCTCTCCCCTCCGCGCCACCAGCCGCTCCCCCCCTGCAGAAGGCGCGGCAGGGGGACGAGGAGGAAAAAGGTGAGGACCGCGATGTTGTTTTAGGGAAGGAGGATGAGATGGTGTGTGTGTACGTGTGTGTGTGTGTGTGTGTGTGTGTGTGTGTGTGTGTGTGTGTGTGTGTGTGTGTGTGTGTGTGTGTGTGTGTGTGTGTGTGTGTGTGTGTGTGTGTGTGTGTGTGTTGTGTGTGTTCTTACCTAGTTATTTCAATATGGGAGAAGGGCTAAGCTCAGATGTTCCCGTTTGCTATTTTACCATCATATAACTTTTTAAATCGATGCATGTTCCATGTTTCAATAGTTATGAACTTCTTGATATCTTTCTCGCCTCTTTTTACTTTCAACTTTTTGCCGTGTCCTCTCGTCCTTCTTGTGTTCAAAATTATAGTCATTTTTGTCTAATTTCACCCTTCCTGTAACATCGTTGAACATCATTATCGTGTCACCTCTTTTTCTTCTTTCTTCCAAAGTAGTAAGACCTATTTTCTGTAATCTTTCTTCGTACCTCGTATCTCTGAGAATAGGTGCCCATCTTGTGGCTACTCTTTGAACTCTTTCTAGTGTATCTAGAAATGAAAGAGAGAGAACGAGAGAGCAAGAATAAGTGTAGACTCCATGCCACTGCATCATACTCAAGACCAGGCTTTATGAACTTTACCTTGCCTTCGTCCACATACGCGAATGCCCTCTTCATGATGCCTATCAGCCCTAGCATTTTTAGGAACCTTGTCATTTATATGATCATTTGGGCTGCGGTTGCTGTTTGTGATTATTCCAAGGTCATTTTCTTTATCTGCCTGGTTTAACATTACGTCTCCTAACTTGTATTGGTATAGTGGACGAATTTTACTTTCTCCGAAGCTGACTACATGGCATTTATTGGTGTTAAATTCCATTTTCTATGTACAACTCCAATGTCGATGTCACTTCGGAAGCACTGGCATTTCGCGTCGTCCGCAAACATATTCAGATAACTATCTGGGATTATGTTTGATCCTAAATCATTTATGAAAATAGTTAAATAATCGGCGCCAAAACCGATCCTGGAGGTATTTATGTAGAGCTTTGGTTGGTTTGTACACTCGTTGATTACATCCTTTTCAAAGTCTAATTTCGCCTGCCTCATGGTTTCGGTATACTTATTTCTTCCTGCCTTATACCTTCCATACGCTGCCTGAGAGCTATGTCTTCTGAACCTTCTCCAAAGGAGCTGTTTGTTTTCTCTCATTTTCTTGCATTTATCATTGAACCCCTTTTGGCCATTTCTTGCTTCAGTTATGAATCTTGACAAAAAAAAATCTACTCCTTGTTTATAGAATTTAGAATATTGCATACCAAGGTTCTCTTCGTTCAGGAGGGTTTCCCAGTTTTTGCCATCAAAGAAATTTTTATGACTTCTATAACCACCTCTTGTAAGTGTACTCTCCTTTTCTTTCCTTACTTACAGTGAGTTTTTCCTGTAGCAGAGAGTATTTCAACTTAATTACTACATGATAACTTTTTTTCCTAGAGGAGGGCAGTACTTCATGTATTTAATGTCATTTTTATGCTTTGTAAATATTTGCTCAAGCATAGACGGCCTGCCTTGCCCTATTATCCTGGTACAATCTGTTACATTCTGGAAGAGATAAAATTCATTTATGACTTCTAGTAATTTTGCATTCCACGACTTTGGCTGAGCTCTGGGATCGAAACTTTGCCAATCAATTTTGCTATTAAAATCCCCTGTTGCAATAATTTTACTCTACATTAGTTTCGGAAAGTTGTAGCACTTCTTCCAGGCTCTTTAACGTTTTTTGAATAAGTTTTGGGTAATTTTCTTGTGACCATACCGATGGTGTGAGGTGGCATGTGCACTGTGGTTATCGTTATATTTACTCCAATGTTTCTACCTCAGTTGCCTTCTACTGTGGGGTATTGCTAAATCTCTATCTCCTTTATAATAATTTCTTTCCTTGTTGATACTGCTACCCCCTCCAATTCCATTTCCATATCTTTTCTTCAAATATTGTAGTCTCTGAGTTCTAATGTTACATCGTCTACGGAAGGATCCAGTTTGGATTCAGTGATGCATATTACATCTGGTTTATTACTTTCAGTCATTGTGTGTGTGTGTGTGTGTGTTTGTGTGTGTGTGTGTGTGTGTGTGTGTGTGTGTGTGTGTGTGTGTGTGTGTGTGTGTGTGTGTGTGTGTGTGAGAGAGAGAGAGAGAGAGAGAGAGAGAGAGAGAGAGAGAGAGAGAGTGAGAGAGAGAGAGAGAGAACGAGAGAAAATAAGAACGGAGAGAGCACGATGGAGAAAGAAAACGAAAGAGAGAGAACGAGAGAGCAAGAATAAAAAACAAAACACAAAAAAACAAAAAAGAGAGTAACAACCCCCTTCCCCTACCTCTCTCGCAGCCCACAGAAGGGAGCTGCTACGGAACGGCTTTTGGGCGGCGGTCATCTCCATCGGCAGCCATTTTTACGGCGACATGACGGTGGCCAGAGCTCTCCCCAAGGACCCGCGGCAGAACACATGGCTGCTCATGTACTCTCCCTTGCCGACCCTCGCCCTCTGCCTCGCCTACGTCGCCTCCGTCACCTACGTGGGGCCCAAACTCATGGCCGGCCGAAAGCCTTTCTCGAATCTCCGGTCTGTCATGATGGCTTACAACGCCTTCCAGGTCGTCTTCTCGGCGTACATTTTCTATGAGGTGATTCCACGCTCCGTTTTCTGTGGCTCCGTTTTCTTTCTTGGGGTTTACACATTTTTGTTTTCATTTTTGTGGAGGATTTACTTGCCTAATTTATTATTCTTACATGATGTTACATTTTGGGGAGGATTTGTTGTTTATATATATAAACATATATATAATCTTGAGATTACTTCTCTTAAGTTGTTTGAAAATAATCTATGCATTATCACTTTGGACTCATAAAATATCATTACTTAACTATTACCTCCAATGATTTGCTTGACTCAACTTTCCCCCCATGAACTTTCTTTTAGCTTTACCTCCATGACTTGCCTAATTCTCCCCTCCCCCCTTCCTCCCCCCTCTCGCCTTGCGGTATTCTCCTTTGTATACCAAGTCTTATACTAAATTTCTTACCTTGTCTTATACTACATTTCCTTTCCTTGCGTTATTCTAACTTCTTTATATTGGTTTATTTTAATTTCTTCCTATTCCTCCTTAATCACCCTTTCCTTGTCTTTTATCCCGCCCTTATATCACGCCCTTACACCACACCCATTGCCTTATATCACGCCCATGGCCTTATATTACGTTCTTACACCACACCCATTGCCTTATATCCCGCCCATGGCCTTATATCACACCCTTATACCACGCCCATTGCCTTATATCCCGCCCATGGCCTTATATCACGCCCATTCTTCCTCCTAGGCCGGAATGGGCGGCTGGTTCGGCTCCTACTCGTTTATCTGCCAGACCTGCGACTTTTCAGAAAACCCACAGGCTGTCAGGGTAAGAATGCGTGTGTTTGTTTTCCTTGTTGTTGTTGTTTTGTTGCTGTTGCTATTATGATTATGTTGAAATTATTGTTATTGTTATTATTATTATTATTATCATTTAGCGAGGATGGTGATAATGATGGTGACGGTGAATGATGATAATCATTGTGATTTTTATGATCAGCTCTTTACTTCGCCATTATCATTTTCTCAGTCATGCCAATTCCAGGCGAAGGTGAAAGTTGTATACTGCAGAATATGTGTGGATCATTAATAAAAAAATAAAAAAAACTCCTTTACATAAAACTTCTCTCTGTCTTTTCCAGGCCATGCATGCCGGTTATTGGTACCTGTTCTCGAAGTTCATCGATTTCGTTGACACGGTAAGAGAGAGGGAGGGTGGGAGGGTGGGGAGGGGGAGAAGGAGAGGGGAGAGGGTGGGGGAGAAGGAGAGGGAGGGGGGGTAGGAGAGAGAGAGAGGCAGGGGGAGAAGGAGAGGGGAGAAGGAGGGGGAGAAGGAGAGGGAGGGGGAGAGGGAGGGGGAGGGGGAGGAGTGGGAGGGGGGGTAGGAGAGAGAGAGAGGCAGGGGGGGAAGGAGAGGGGAGAGGGAGGGGGAGAAGGAGAGGGAGGGGGAGAGGGAGGGGGAGGGGGAGAAGGAGTGGAAGGGGGAGAAGGAGGGGGAGGGGGAGAAGGAGAGGGAGAAGGAGGAGGGGGAGAGGGAGGGGGTGAAGGAGAGGGAGGGGGGGAGGGTTTTGGAGAGGGAGAGGGAGAGGGAGGGGGAGAGGGAGGGGGAGAGGGTGGGGGAGAAGGAGAGGGAGGGGGAGAGGGAGAAGGAGAGGGAGGGGGAGAGGGAGGGGGAGAGGGTGGGGGAGAAGAAGGGAGAATGAGGGAGAGAGAGGCAGGGGGAAGGAGAGGGAGGGGGAGAGGGAGGGGGAGGGGGAGAGGGTGAGGGAGAATGAGGGAGAGAGAGGGAGGGGGAGAAGGAGGGGGAGAAGGAGGGGGAGGGGGAGAGGGAGGGGGAGAGGGTGGGTGAGAAGAAGGGAGAATGAGGGAGAGAGAGGCAGGGGGAAGGAGAGGGAGGGGGAGAGGGAGGGGGAGGGGGAGAGGGTGAGGGAGAATGAGGGAGAGAGAGGGAGGGGGAGAGGGAGGGGGAGAAGGAGGGGGAGGGGGAGAGGGAGGGGGAGAGGGTGGGTGAGAAGGAGAGGGAGGGGGAGAAGGAGGGGGACAGGGTGAGGGAGAATGAGGGAGAGAGAGGCAGGGGGAAGGAGAGGGAGGGGGAGAAGGAGGGGGAGGGGGAGAGGGAGGGGGAGAGGGTGGGTGAGAAGGAGAGGGAGGGGGAGAAGGAGGGGGAGAGGGTGAGGGAGAATGAGGGAGAGAGAGGCAGGGGGAGAAGGAGAGGGAGGGGGGAGAGGGAGGGGGAGAGGGTGGGGGAGGGGGAAAGGGAGGGGGAGGGGGAGAGGGTGAGGGAGAATAAGGGAGGACGGACGAAGAAGGACGAGGAGAAGGAGAAGGAGAGGATGGAAAGATGGAGGGGGAGAGGGAGAGGGAGAGGAGAAAGGAAAAGGGGGAGGGAGGAGGGAGGGAAGAAGGGGAGAATGAAATGACGGGGGGGGGGAATAGAGAAGTGAGCACGGGGTTGCGGGAGGGGGAGTGAAAGGGAAGTGAGATAGATAGATAGATAGACAGAGAGAGCGAGGACGTGTGTGTGTATGTGTGTGTGTGTGTGTGTGTGTGTGTGTGTGTGTGTGTGAGAGAGAGAGAAAAAAAAAATCTTCAAAATTACATAATACCTGCATGACTGGGATAATTGTAAGCAAAATCTCGTATGAAACTATTTCATGTAAGACAAGAAGCAATGTCATGCATTTATTTTCATTGTATATTTATCCAAAAACAATTAGTTAGAATTTTACTGTGATAGATTCTCATAGTAAAAAAAAATCAGGATATAAACACACACAACAAAAGACACACACACACACACACACACACACACACACACATACACAAACACACACAAACACACACACACACACATACACCCACAAACACAAACACACACACGTACACCCACCCACTCCAAATATCACAACACATCTTCCTTTCGAACATCTAACTCTCTCTTTCTTCAGATCTTCTTCGTCCTGCACAAGAAATACGAACACATCTCCCTTCTCCACGTGTGCCACCATTCCCTTATGCCCATCAGCCTGTGGTATGGCATTAGATTCCAGCCTGGTAAGTAACTTCTGTTGGTTATGTCGTTATTTATTTCGTGAGGGTGTCAGTTTGATGATGATGATAATGATGGTATTGATGATAATGATAGTAGTGATGGTAATGATAATGATAAAGGTGAAAATGATAATAATAATACTGATAGTAATGATAATGATAATAATGATAGTAATGATAATGATAATAATGATAGTAATGATAATGATAATAATGATAAAGGGGAAAATGATAAAAATAATAATGATAATAATGAAAATAGTTATAACAGTGTTGATAATAATCATTAATCCAAATTTCCACATCTCTCCTTTAATATCGTTACTAAAACCTACTCGTGTTTTATTTTATTTTATTATCTGTTATTTCATTTTTCTCCCAAAGGCGGGCATGCAACTCTCGGAGGGTTCCTGAATTCTTTCGTCCACGTCGTCATGTACGGCTACTACCTCCTGGCCGCCATGGGACCCAAAGTCAGGCCCTACTTGTGGTGGAAGAAGTACCTGACGACGATGCAGATGGTGCAGTTCACCGTCGTCTTTCTGCACAGTTTAGTTGTACGTTGTGTGTTGGTTGCGTTTTTCTCGCTGGGTTTCCGTTCTCTTTTGGATTCTAGTCCATTTTCTTTCGTTTCGGGTTCTTTTTCTTTCGGTTTCTTTCTCTCTTTGTCTCTGCCTCTGTCTGTCTGTCTGTCTGTCTGTCTCTTCTCTCTCTCTGTTGCCCCTCTCTTTTTATCTCTCTGTCTCTCTCTCCTCTCTTCCTGTATATACACCGTCTATACATGGCTGTGAGGGAAAAAAATGAAACGTGCAGAAAATACACACACACACACACACACACACACACACACACACACACACACACACACACACACACACACACACACACACACACACACACACACACACACACACACACACGCACGCACACACATATATACATACAGCGAAAGTATATTCATTGAGGATTCTGTTGCACCTTCGCAGTTGGCTTTCATCGAGTGCGAGGTTCCGTCCGTGCTGGTGAGCTGGGCTGCGGGCGTGGCTGCCTTGTTCTTCGTCCTTTTCGGAGACTTCTACATCAAGGCCTACAGGAAGAAGGACAAGAAAGCGGTAAGGAGGGCGAGGGAGTGTCGAGGGAGTTAGAACTGAAGGATTTTTTTTTAAAGATTTCGTATGTTACATTCAGATTTGTGGATTTGCAGCTTCCAGAATTTTTGAGAATTAGAATAGGTTATATGTGATTTTCGTCTTTCATTCAGGTTAAAAGCGATGCCTCTATTTCGCTCAAAAACGGCCACGCAAATGGAGTGTCCAACGGCGTGCCTAGCGGTGCTGTGGCCAAGGAGAACAACGGCGTGCCTAGCGGTGCTTTGACCAAGGACAACAACGGCGTGCCAAAAGTACCTGTCGACGGAACGACAGTCTCGGTCATGGCATACGAAGGCATGACAGTGAGGAATCGAGGGGAAATTTGATTTTCGCTCGTTCCAAAATCCATGAATCCGTATCTACCTGTATTTTTTTCGTACGCAATTTTGTCATCGACTGCAGCCCTTGCTTGCTCTGCATCCACGTTCTTTTGCCGTTGTCATTCCATATTAATGAGCCCGTTTTGTCAATCTCCAGGTGTGCACCATTATTTTGTCTCCATCGACTGATATAAACCACAGTATTTGAAAAAAAGAAATCTTTAGAAATTCATTTCACTCTCCTGATCAAGGAGAAAACGCTTTCCTTGTACGTAGAAATTTCCCCTATTCACTCTACAATCAACCAATGCATCATATATTTGCATCATATATTATATATCATAGTATATATATCACACGGTACTGTTCTATATCGCAAGGTGAAGACACATTTGGGCAGTGGGCATTAAGCTGTCTTTTTGATTCACTTTTTTTGTACTGTTTTGTTTTCCGTCATTTTGTACAGAGCCTTTTGACTTTCAAATTCACTGGCCAGTCGCTTTCCTGACTGTCATGCTGATATCTCTTGTATTTCAGGATTTTTTTTTTCAGCAAAATGTAAACTTAAGCTGGAAATACAAAGTCACTGTCCGCTAGAAAGAAAGAAAATAATGAAAGAAAAGAGAAAATAAAGAAAGAAAAGAAAGAAAGGAAGAGAGAAAGAAAGAAAAACTATTACAGCATATACTTGACGAGATATTTTCACGTATTGCAAATGCTGTAATGTTACTTGACTTGCTTTTTTCTAACTTAAATGTTTGATGAAATGACAAGGTTTTAAGTACATAAAAAAATAGGATTAAATCTCTTAAATATCAATAATTTCTTTCTTTCTATTTTTTTCCTTAGCATCGTGCACACAGCTGAGAATATCTCGGACCTTATGTCCAACGGCGTGCCTAGCGGTGCTGTGGCCAAGGAGAACAACGGCGTGCCTAGCGGTGCTGTGGCCAAGGAGAACAACGGCGTGCCTAGCGGTGCTGTGGCCAAGGAGAACAACGGCGTGCCTAGCGGTGCTGTGGCCAAGGAGAACAACGGCGTGCCTAGCGGTGCTGTGGCCAAGGAGAACAACGGCGTGCCTAGCGGTGCTGTGGCCAAGGAGAACAACGGCGTGCCTAGCGGTGCTGTGGCCAAGGAGAACAACGGCGTGCCTAGCGGTGCTGTGGCCAAGGAGAACAACGGCGTGCCTAGCGGTGCTGTGGCCAAGGAGAACAACGGCGTGCCTAGCGGTGCTGTGGCCAAGGAGAACAACGGCGTGCCTAGCGGTGCTGTGGCCAAGGAGAACAACGGCGTGCCTAGCGGTGCTGTGGCCAAGGAGAACAACGGCGTGCCTAGCGGTGCTGTGGCCAAGGAGAACAACGGCGTGCCTAGCGGTGCTGTGGCCAAGGAGAACAACGGCGTGCCTAGCGGTGCTGTGGCCAAGGAGAACAACGGCGTGCCTAGCGGTGCTGTGGCCAAGGAGAACAACGGCGTGCCTAGCGGTGCTGTGGCCAAGGAGAACAACGGCGTGCCTAGCGGTGCTGTGGCCAAGGAGAACAACGGCGTGCCTAGCGGTGCTGTGGCCAAGGAGAACAACGGCGTGCCTAGCGGTGCTGTGGCCAAGGAGAACAACGGCGTGCCTAGCGGTGCTGTGGCCAAGGAGAACAACGGCGTGCCTAGCGGTGCTGTGGCCAAGGAGAACAACGGCGTGCCTAGCGGTGCTGTGGCCAAGGAGAACAACGGCGTGCCTAGCGGTGCTGTGGCCAAGGAGAACAACGGCGTGCCTAGCGGTGCTGTGGCCAAGGAGAACAACGGCGTGCCTAGCGGTGCTGTGGCCAAGGAGAACAACGGCGTGCCTAGCGGTGCTGTGGCCAAGGAGAACAACGGCGTGCCTAGCGGTGCTGTGGCCAAGGAGAACAACGGCGTGCCTAGCGGTGCTGTGGCCAAGGAGAACAACGGCGTGCCTAGCGGTGCTGTGGCCAAGGAGAACAACGGCGTGCCTAGCGGTGCTGTGGCCAAGGAGAACAACGGCGTGCCTAGCGGTGCTGTGGCCAAGGAGAACAACGGCGTGCCTAGCGGTGCTGTGGCCAAGGAGAACAACGGCGTGCCTAGCGGTGCTGTGGCCAAGGAGAACAACGGCGTGCCTAGCGGTGCTGTGGCCAAGGAGAACAACGGCGTGCCTAGCGGTGCTGTGGCCAAGGAGAACAACGGCGTGCCTAGCGGTGCTGTGGCCAAGGAGAACAACGGCGTGCCTAGCGGTGCTGTGGCCAAGGAGAACAACGGCGTGCCTAGCGGTGCTGTGGCCAAGGAGAACAACGGCGTGCCTAGCGGTGCTGTGGCCAAGGAGAACAACGGCGTGCCTAGCGGTGCTGTGGCCAAGGAGAACAACGGCGTGCCTAGCGGTGCTGTGGCCAAGGAGAACAACGGCGTGCCTAGCGGTGCTGTGGCCAAGGAGAACAACGGCGTGCCTAGCGGTGCTGTGGCCAAGGAGAACAACGGCGTGCCTAGCGGTGCTGTGGCCAAGGAGAACAACGGCGTGCCTAGCGGTGCTGTGGCCAAGGAGAACAACGGCGTGCCTAGCGGTGCTGTGGCCAAGGAGAACAACGGCGTGCCTAGCGGTGCTGTGGCCAAGGAGAACAACGGCGTGCCTAGCGGTGCTGTGGCCAAGGAGAACAACGGCGTGCCTAGCGGTGCTGTGGCCAAGGAGAACAACGGCGTGCCTAGCGGTGCTGTGGCCAAGGAGAACAACGGCGTGCCTAGCGGTGCTGTGGCCAAGGAGAACAACGGCGTGCCTAGCGGTGCTGTGGCCAAGGAGAACAACGGCGTGCCTAGCGGTGCTGTGGCCAAGGAGAACAACGGCGTGCCTAGCGGTGCTGTGGCCAAGGAGAACAACGGCGTGCCTAGCGGTGCTGTGGCCAAGGAGAACAACGGCGTGCCTAGCGGTGCTGTGGCCAAGGAGAACAACGGCGTGCCTAGCGGTGCTGTGGCCAAGGAGAACAACGGCGTGCCTAGCGGTGCTGTGGCCAAGGAGAACAACGGCGTGCCTAGCGGTGCTGTGGCCAAGGAGAACAACGGCGTGCCTAGCGGTGCTGTGGCCAAGGAGAACAACGGCGTGCCTAGCGGTGCTGTGGCCAAGGAGAACAACGGCGTGCCTAGCGGTGCTGTGGCCAAGGAGAACAACGGCGTGCCTAGCGGTGCTGTGGCCAAGGAGAACAACGGCGTGCCTAGCGGTGCTGTGGCCAAGGAGAACAACGGCGTGCCTAGCGGTGCTTTGACCAAGGACAACAACGGCGTGCCAAAAGTACCTGTCGACGGAACGACAGTCTCGGTCATGGCATACGAAGGCATGACAGTGAGGAATCGAGGGGAAATTTGATTTTCGCTCGTTCCAAAATCCATGAATCCGTATCTACCTGTATTTTTTTCGTGCGCAATTTTGTCATCGACTGCAGCCCTTGCTTGCTCTGCATCCACGTTCTTTTGCCGTTGTCATTCCATATTAATGAGCCCGTTTTGTCAATCTCCAGGTGTGCACCATTATTTTGTCTCCATCGACTGATATAAACCACAGTATTTGAAAAAAAGAAATCTTTAGAAATTCATTTCACTCTCATGATCAAGGAGAAAACGCTTTCCTTGTACGTAGAAATTTCCCCTATTCACTCTACAATCAACCAATGCATCATATATTTGCATCATATATTATATATCATAGTATATATATCACACGGTACTGTTCTATATCGCAAGGTGAAGACACATTTGGGCAGTGGGCATTAAGCTGTCTTTTTGATTCACTTTTTTTGTACTGTTTTGTTTTCCGTCATTTTGTACAGAGCCTTTTGACTTTCAAATTCAATGGCCAGTCGCTTTCCTGACTGTCATGCTGATATCTCTTGTATTTCAGGATTTTCTTTCTTTCTATTTTTTTCCTTAGCTTCCTGCACACAGCTGAGAATATCTCGGACCTTATGATTGAAGTTATTTATATTCGCAGAGAGGAAATTCAGGTCAAAATTAGTATTGTTACGTTCTTTTGCGCCAACGCGAGATGAGTGATGATGATTGTAGTGATAACTGGCTTACTTTATATGGATGTAATTGCCTGAAATGAGAACAACTCGCCCAAACAGACACACCTACACACACACACACGTACACACGCACAAACGCACACACACACACACACACACGCACGCACGCACACACGCACGCACGCACGCACACACACACACACACACACGCACGCATGCACGCACGCACGCACGCACGCACGCACGCACGCACGCACGCACACACACACACACACACACACACACACACACACACTCTCGCACACACACACGCGTACACATGCACACACGCACACATTATCATTGTTGCCATTATTATCATTGTGGTTGTTATAATTGTCGTTATTATTAGCATAGTTTTTTATGGTGCTTTCTTCCTTTCTCCTTTCTTTCTTTTTTATAGTTAACAGTGACTTCGTATTTGCAATGTTTTTTATACATATATATAATAGATATAGAATACATTAAGTTAATATACACATACTGTAAAATAGCACAATCAGAATAAAACAGCCTGATATATGTGTTTTCATTTACCTCATATTGACATTTAAATTAAACTTATGAGGAAAAAACTAAGATTATTTGGCATAACGATTCTTCTTCGGAAGTCAGAAAACAATAGAGGTATTACATATGAACTCATAAATATTCTTTGATTGTTAGTATTTTAATGACTAATTTCACCTATTGTTCTCTTGATTAGCAAACACACACGCACACACACAAACACGCACACGCACACACCAACAACCCCCACACACACAAACGTTCACGAATTTAGAGAAGTAATTGTTATATGCTTGTAGTCTGTTTTAATCATGTGTATAAATGAACAGTGTTTTATCTCTTTTTTTTTTTTTTTTTTTTTTTTTTTGCTGGTTAGGAGAACGATGAAAGTTTCACTGTTATTCATAGAATAAGTTTATTTATCAATACTAAAAGGGTTTGTATACACAGGAGAGAGAAATTCATTGTTTATGATGATCATAAATTTGCAAAATTCGTTAATTTTATAAGCTGCGAGAAGCGTTCCAGTTAACTTATATATATATATATATATATATATATATATATATATATATATATATATATATATATATATATATATATATATATATATATATATATATATATATATGCACACCATCAGAATTGTTCAGAATTGAACAGCTGTGACCAATGGCCTCACACTCGTATGTCTCGTAACCACGCGCGACGCAGCAGTTCTGTTGCTGATGTTCCAGCAGCTGTCGCCAGGTGGCGGGATCCGTCACGCTGCTCCGAGTGTTTCCATTGAGACCTTGATCATTGATACATACATATATGTATAGTAAAGAAATGATAATAGAACATTATCTTAGAGCTTTATTTACAGCTATTTCTAACGGTAAGAATTGCCTTTACAACAAGTGCACTTGAAAGATAACTAACATAAACGTGAGTGACTTCAGTGCAGGGATCTCAAACTACAAAGGAAAATGACTTACACCATCTTATCTTATCTTATCTTACACCATCATCATCATCATCATCACAGCAAATAAAACGAAATTAGAAACACTAGGCTGAATGTACAGTATATCACATTCCGATTAAGTGCAGTGTTCATGTTGCAGTCGTGTTAAAAATTCCGCCAACTGTAACAAGAACACACATTGATTTTTTTCCCCTTTTCTTCTTCACTGTACACTTTGTGAGGAAGAGTGTGTCTCTCACCCCCTCCCCCACCCCCCACCCCGATTTACGATGGGAGAAATAGCTACTGTAATTTTATTCAATTATTGTGATTTTATTTTATCATTAACAATTTAGGAGGAAAGCAAGACAGGAGAAAGTCCATTGAGTCAAAGTTTTGGAAAAAATAATGAGAAATGAAAAAAAACATTTGATATTTCCCAAAAATGGACTTAAATACAAGGTAATCGGGCTACGCTAGAAACCGAGAAGTAACGAAGAAAAAAAGAAATGGCAAAGCAGAATTTCAACCTCGCCAAGAAGATGGAGAAGAAGAAGAAAAAATACGAAACGGGAAGCAAGAAGAAAACGAAGGTTCAAAGCCTTATAAAAACAAAAATCAGAAAAACAGAAACCAGATGGAAAGGAAGTCTCCAGCCTCGCCAAAGAACAAAAGGGAAAGAAATAACATAGGAAAAAAGAAAGAAAAGAAAATAACAAAAGTTCTCTAGCCTCTCCAAAGAAAACGAGAAGGGCAAAAAAGCGGGAAAAGACAAAGAAACCAGCTTTCCAACCCTTTAAAAGAAAACGGGAAAGACAGAGAAACCTAGCCTCACCAAAGAAAATGGAAAAGGCAAAATAGGGGAGAGACAAAGAAACCAGCTCTCAAGTCTCTCCAAAGAAAACGGGAAATGCAGAGCAAACAGCCCTCTAGCCTCGTCAAAGAAAAAGGAAAAGGCAAAGAAATCAGCTTTTCAGACAAACCAAAGAAAAGAGAAAGGCAAAGAAAACGGATCTCCAGCCTCCCCAAAGAAAACGGGAGAGGCATAGAAAACGGATCTCCAACTTCACCAAAGAAAACGGATCTCCAGCTTCACCAAAGAAAACGGGAAAGACAGAGAAAACGGCTCTCCAGCTTCACCAAAGAAACCGAGAAAGAAACCCTTTTAATGCGACTCCCCAGCTTCTCCTCGGACGCGGCTCCTCACGCTCATGTCCCGAGGAAGGTCCTTCGGCAGCTCCTTCGTCGATAGCGCCTCCGGCAGTAGAGTCGTGGCGCCCACTTCCCCGTTGAGGGCGGGGAAGCACAGCCCGTTCTGGCTTGGCTTCAGGCTGCCGTTGGAGTGGTCGTGGGCGCCGTTGAGCTTCTGAAAATTAATGTGAATAATTGGCTGATAAGAATGATAACGGTGACGATGATGATGGTAATGGTGATAATGATAGTGAGAATACTACTTCTGTTAATACTATTAATGATAATATCAAATAATAATGATGATGATAATGACTAATGATAATGATAATGATAATAATAGTGATAATAATAGTAATAATAATAATAATGATAATAATAATAATAACAATAATAATGATGATTAATAATAATATTGATACTAGTAATGATAGCAAAACTGATAATGATAATGATAATAATAACAATATGATTATATTGATAATAATAACTATAATGATAACAATAGAAACGCTATTAACAATGAAAACATTAATGGGAGAAAAAGAGATACCGTAATTGAAAGATGAAATGAAGGGAAAACAAGGATGAGGAAATAACACGTAGAAGAACAAAATCATGGTTACTTTTTTCTGTCCATGAAAATGATTTTCAAAAAAAAAAACTTTCATACTTTCGTGATTCATTCGAGATAGATAATGGTGAAAGACCTTCGTATTAGTCAAAAATCTATTTCGACTGATATTTATATGTCAACGTCCTATTTAAATTGTTTTAAATGTTACGTTATTTGATGGTAGGGCAAGAAAGAAGAAAAATAATGGAGGTAAAAAGATAACCTTGCTATTTAACCCATTAGTGGCGGGTATGACGTGTACGTACGTGCTATGCCCACCGTGAGTACTTGTTTAATTGTTTTTTCGCATAGATTTATTTTACGTTATCTTATTTTGCTGTTACTAATGTTAAAAAACATAAAAATTATAATGTTTATGATAAAAATAACACCATCGATTTTCATAGCATTTCAAATCAGGTGCTAGCAGAGCCATCTATCGGCAGACATTTCACGAAAAACAGAAAGTGGGCACAGCATTTTCCCCATTTTTTTGTTCATTTTCCCCGGCGGCATTAGGTTAAGTGGTTATTGCAACAAGACCCACGTCTGAGACGAGGCAAGAAAGGAGAGACAAGAATGGTAATGGAATAAGAGGAAGCAAATGAAAGATAATGGGGAACAGGAAGACAAACACACAGAAGTGTACATGCACTCTCTCTCTCTTTTTTTTTCTTCCTTTCACTTCCGGTCTCTCTCTCTCTCTCTCTCTCTCTCTCTCTCTCTCTCTCTCTCTCTCTCTCTCTCTCTCTCTCTCTCTCTCTCTCTCTCTCTCTTGCCACCCCCTCTCTCTCTTTCTCTCTCTTTCTCTCCCTCTCGCTCTATATGTTTCTGCCTCTGCCTCCCCCTATCTCTGCCTCTCTCTCTCTCTCTCTCTCTCTCTCTCTCTCTCTCTCTCTCTCTCTCTCTCTCTCTCTCTCTCTCTCTCTCTCACACACACACACACACACACACACACACACACACACACACACACACACACACACACACACACACACACACACGCCCGCGCGCGCGCGCCCCTCACTCCCCCACACAAACAGGAGTACTCTTTCTCAAAAACACTCACCCATCCTTACGCCAACACAAGACACACACGCACACACACACACACAGGCAACACCCTCCCTTCCTCTCTCCTCCAACACAACCCAGCCTACCTTCTGTGTATCACGTTTCCTATAAGCCTTGATGTAGAAGTCGGTGAAGAGGACGAGGAA